TAAACATTTGAACCTAGCTCTCTCTTTCTCTCTCTCTCTTTCTCTCTATCTATCTATCTATCTATCTATCTATCTATATATATATATATATATATATATATATATATATATATATATATATATATATATATATATATATATATATATATATATATATATATGTAACATCCAATAAATCATAGTAAATTTTTTCATTTTTGAAACCATTCCAAAACCATAAGTGTTTACAAACATAGTTTCCAAAGTGTCAATAGTTACAAATCAGAGTATCCCAAACCCACTTCTCATAATAATTAAAGTATGTGCACAATCAAGTCAACAATCAACAACCCATCACGACATGGTAAAAAAGTCAATGGCCAACGGAAGTCAACAATCAACAGCCCCTGACAACATGACCATTTATGGCTCACATCATGAGCCACTTAAGGACAAAATAGTTGGGTCTCATAATCCTCACGACGTGACAAGCATATCCTCATGTCGTGAGATCATCTTAATTACCAATTAGATCCAAAAACTTCTTAATCCAATAAGCCACTAATCCATCTTTTCTAGGAGGCTTTCTAACACCCCATGGATCATAAAAATTGATGCTTTAATGTCTTGTATGTCCAATACAAGACTTGAGCTCAAACTAGGGAATTCATGGAGAAAATGAGATCAAATCTCAAACATGAACTCAAACATCATCCAAACTTTAGATCCATAACATATAGTCACCAAGGGACCCTAAGGACCCATAAAGTTGCTAACTTTGTGGAGTCCTAACACTCTAACTATTGAAGCCATGGATAAACATACATAAAACCTTAGATCTAGCACCAAGGAAACAAAAAGCTTGGTTCTTGCTTACTCATGATGGTCTAGAGGTGTTGCCAGAGGTTCCAGATGAAAATTCCAAGTTGAATATATGCTTCAATGGTGATCTCTTCTTCTTCAACCGCCAAAAGTCCACCAAAAACTCAATAATAACAAAGAGAGGCTAGGGTTAGGGTTTTACTGAGCTTAGGGACAAAGGAGGTTGTTTTAGAACCCTAAAATGAAGTCTATATGGTTTAAATAAGAAGGAAGCCCTAAAAGATCATGGGTTTGGGTTGCAGTGCATCTCACGTAGTGAGCTCTTATTTCTCATGTTATGAGCTCAATTAAAATCAAAAAAATTATTTGATCACTACTCACGTCATGAACTATCCATGGTCATGTCGTAAGCCTCAGTTTTACCCCAAAACCATACCTTTGACTCCTCGCAACCCTAAGCCGATTCGATCTTGAAACCAGGTGTTATAAAAACATTTAAAGTAGTGAAATGGGGTCGTGAAATCACCCTTGACGCATGCGAATGTTGGTGTAGGATTGAATCGGGCGCGGGTGTAACATCCCAAAAATATGATCCAAAAATTTCATTTTTGATTTAATTAAAACAGTATTCCAAAAACATTATTCATATAAACCAAATGAAAATAAGTGTATCAAACATCAAATCAATCAAATTAACATCTCAAAAGCGGAATCCATGTGGTGTGTGCGATGCAGTCATCCCGGACGCTTCCCCTTGGAAGCAGAAGTACCTGAAACATAAACTAAAAACCGTAAGCGCAAAGCTTAGTGAGTTCCACAAATTAACCCATAACATACATAATAAATCACATAATGGGCCCCCTCTTTCCATCGGGCCCTGCCCGGTATCGAGTCCCACTCAAATTTGGGCCCTCGCCAGACTTTGAGCCCCACTCGGTATACAGATGTGTTATTCTTAGGCCCCGCTTGACATCGGGCCCCGCTCACTATACACATAAACATATATCACATAATCATACTAACATATGTAATGATCATAAACAATAGCATACGATACAGTCATCGGGCCTCGCCCGGCATCGAACCCCGCCCATTATACATAACAACACATATCACATGCAAGGGTCACGCAGACTCCTAGCATCCTAACATAAATAACAAGGACCGACATTAGTTCCTTAGACCGGCTAAACCCAGTGATGAAACTCACCTCGACTACTAAATCTCATTGAAAATCCCTAGTTGTTGGTCCGACGAATCCCCGACCTATCCATATACAAAATAAAACCCAATTAACATTTGGGTCCCAATTCATGTCCAACAATCCATACTTGGGGTAAAAAGACCATTTTACTCCTCACCTAGTTTGGTCCAAGGCTAAGACCCAAACTCAAAATCTAAAAGGCCCAAAACCAAATAATCATCCAAGTCCTACTTGTGATCCAATTTTCCAAATTGGGCCCAAACCCTTCATGGGCATTACCCTTAAGCCCAATAATTTTTACTAGTCCAAAATACTTGTACTCAGATGGACCAAAAAGAACCCAAGCATCCAAGCCAATAAAATGGTCCAAACTTGAAGCCCAAAACACTAAGCCTAACAGCCCACATACTCAGTTGTACGCTAAACGTACTTGCTAAATGGCTTGTATGTTGTGCGTACATACTTGTACGCCCAAGGTACCCACTCAATAAGCCAAAATCCAAATTAAGCACTTAATTCTTAAGACCAGAAGCCCAAACCACATATCCAAGTCCTAATAAGCGTCTATAACCATAAACTCACTGACTTTGTTACTTTGCATGCCCCAAAAAGACCCAACTTCAAAATATAACACCCTACTTTCATTAAATGGACATAATATTATGCGTGGGTGGATCTAAACCCTAAAGGTGCCAACTTTATGGACTTAGAACCTCAGAAACACTAAGAGTGGCAACTCAAAGCTCCTGAAGTGGTATCAAACCACTAGATCTCATTCATGGGGCCAAAAAGGGACCCAAAACTCATATATATAGCTAACAATGATCAAGTTCATAGCTTTTTACCTCAAACCAGCTGGAAAATAGAGTAGAGAATCAGGATCTACAAGCTCTTCCTTGATTAATAACCTTGCACCAAGCTTTTACTTCTTGGATATGGACCAAAACACAACAAAATGGACACAATGAGCTCAAAATACAACAATGGAGGCTGAGGGACGGTTTCTAAAGTTTTGAAGGCTTACGGGCTGGTAAAGAGGCCAGCCCTAATGACTTAAGGTGTTTATATAGGGTGCAACACACTAAATCAGGGTTTCATTGACTTACACGTATGCCCCGCATACATCTTCGGAGTCCTGTCCCAACCTCGCATTAGTACACTATGTGTACCAAGTGGTATGCCCCACGTACTCGCTTTACACCTTGTGCGCTAAGCGTACCGAATGGTACGCCCCGCGTACTTTCCAAGGACCAAAACATAGAATTTTTAATAACAAGGGAAAAATAAGAACCATACCAAGATTCAAGTGTTACATCAGGACTCTGGGGACCGCTCCAGAAATGCACAACTTTGAGGATTGAGAGATTGATTCAAGGAGAGGTGTGCAAAATAAGATATACACCACCTTCTATTTATAGGTATGAAATTTGGGTGCGCGTGGTGTAAGGATCTTGCACTTCGTGTGTGATCATCATGTCTCCATCCAAATACTACCACATGTCACTTCCCTAACTGGGCACGTCACTTGCAATCTACTCGAATCCGATGTCATGTACGCGAGAGGCATAGGCACACACATTACACACACGAAATGATTTCGTAAAAATCATAACTCATTTGTACGAGATCCAATCTAAGCCCTCTTTATATCTATGTAATGATTTCAAGGAGTACTACAACTCTCCTTTAGGTTGTTTTAGCTAGTTTAGACTTCTAGGCATTTCATATTGAAATTGTAATTGTTTACAAAAACCAACTACAACTTCATTAATGGGCACTTTTATCAAATTAACGCCTATTAACTTCTAAACATTTGGATCGTCAAAAACCTTAAATTCTTGCATCTGCTTCAAGTTATTCCAAAGTTGCACCCAAACTATAGTTTCATATACTTTTATGTTGCTACCACCATCCGTTGCTTTAAAGCATAAATAAAAGATTTTATCAAAATGTTCTTTTTATCAAGAACAGTTTCCATTGATTTCATCTCCTTTCATTGATTTTGATCTCTTTCACTAACTCATTACGATGTGTATGAATATGGATCTAAAGTCATGAGATACTCAATTTTGACCGAGAGCACATTTTTTACTTTTCTTTACATCACGTCTTCTTTAACCTATCAAGTATTGGACAAATTTGGATCTAAATATGTATTCTTCAAAGCAGATTCATTTAGATCACCCCTTAACGTTTGAACACCTTGCTCCAACATAGCAATCTTATCCAAAGACCCATTTTTTCCAATTCGAGAGATGCAATGGTAGCATTCATCACATCGACCTCCTCTTCCAAACTTTGATAACCCGCCAACTTACTCTCAAGAATAGCTTTCACCTTGCAACGCCATCAACTCACTTTTCATTCTCACCACATCAGCCTATGGAATCATCCCAACACCAAATGAGACTTTCTCCAGTTGAGCAACCTTCCTAAAAAGACCCACATACTGATCGTGAAAGGTCTGCACATTACGAGAAACCCCCTGGCAAAGAAACATATGGTTTAACAAGATCCAACACCCTATTAAACTCATCCCGCAATCCATGATTTTCCTGATGCAATATTTCATTCTCATCAAGCCAGGACATAATCTTATGACCCAACACGATATTCTACACAAGTTTAATTTTGAAGATATCCCGAGTATTCTCCCTAAGCCCTTGACCAACATTTAACCGAGTGCCAAGAGATGCAAAATTTTCAAAGAAAGACATAGCAACGTTTGGCTCCAATAAATATTGATATCACCTGTATTCCCAGGAAGGAGTAAATATAGGACAAGATGGATGCGGGATGTTAGAATCCGGATGAGAACTGTTGCGTATAATTGGACAAGATAAATTGAAGGCCGGGCCGCACCTAGACTATCAGTAAAAGATCAAAAAACACCATGATCTAAGGAACGAGATCTTTTTACAACCCTACCACCATTTCTACCTTCTCCGCCAGTTAGGACAGTTGTAAAAGATGAAGAAGCAATTGAACCCCTATCTCATTTACGGCAAACCAAAGGATCTTCTTCATTTTCACCTTCATCGCCATCATCGGCAACCACAATAGAAACAATGGAAACATTTGGAGTTTGCTCACCAACATCATCGTCATAAGAATCATGAACCTTAATTGAAGATTTCATTTCATCCTCATTTTCCCTTTCACTTTGTGAGTTAATACCCTTACTCCTACTATCATTAATGTTATCGTGAAAGGTAAGAATTTCAAAATCATTAGAACCAAGATCACAGACTGAAACCTTATCCTCGATAAAACCTGAAAAAAGAAAGGGCATACGAGTTCTATCTACAATGAGAAACCAATAAACGATTAACATTGCAATAAACAAACGATTAGTAAGGAAACAAATGAATACCTGGTCCTCGAACAAATAAAGAAGGAACCACACCCATGCACAACCAATAAGGGTTTATATCGGCTTGCCTTAACACAACCCTAAGTCGGGAGTCCTATCAGGTTTTTAATCGATAAAGTGTCAGGAAGATGAAACGTATTTTGATGGGGAAAGCGAGATGCATTTAACCATATAAATCATTTTTCCAGTTCTTGATGGATTCTGGAAGACCCTTAATTAAAACTCTGTCCCTAAGAGTGAAAATAATACCAACCACCATTGCAACGGATACGAAAGAAATACTGAAACAGATCGACTGGAAAATCTCTATCTGGGTAAGAAATCATGACCGGGTAAGAAACCATGTTGTTTGATTGTACATCTGACTGAATATGTTGACCGATGAAAAATAACTGTTTTACGCTGCTGCTCTATACAGTGATAAAAATAACCATTTTTTATGCTTAGCTAAAATAAATTTGTTTGCATGCAAATCTAACTTCGATGAACATTGTTAAATTAATAAAAGGTTCACATGTAATTCATGAATTATATATATATATATATATATATATATATATATATATATATATATATATATATATATATATATATATATATATATATCACTTAAAAATTAAAAGTTTTGAGGAATGAATAAAAAACTAAATTTTTTTTTTTTTTTAAAACAATAATTTAACCATGGACATGTGAAAACCCAGTCCATGAGTCATGAGTCAAAGGTATTTTCATTTTTATACATTAACAATATAATAAATTAATACACACTTTTTTTTCTCTTCACTTTCATTTTTGTTGATTCTAGAGAGAGAATGGGATCTAACCCAATCTCCATACAAAAGTTGTAGCTCTTTTCTAGGGCAGTTCCACCCCTCATCTGAACCATCGACCATGACAACACCACCGCTGCAAATCAAACTTTTCGTTCCTTTCTGGTGGGAAGAACAATCAGGTAACCACCATGGATAGATGTCTGATTGTTCTTCCCACCAGAAAGGAACATAAAGTTTGATTTGCAGCGATGATGTTGTGATGGTCAATGGTTCAGATGAGGGATGGAACTGTCCTAGAAAAGAGCAACAACTTTTGTATGGAGATTGGGTTAGATCCCATTCTCTCTCTAGAATCAATTGAAATGAAAGTGAAGAGAAAAAAAAAATATGTATTAATTTATTATATTGTTAATGTATAAAAATGAAAATACCTTTGACTCATGACTTATGGACTGGGTTTTCACATGTCCATTACATTTGATTAAATTATTGTTTTTAAAATAAATAAAATTTAGTTTTGCATTCCTCCTGTTAATTTTTAAGTGATATATATGTAATTCATGCATTACATGTGGACCTTTTATTAATTTAACAATGTTCATCGAAGTTAAATTTGCATGCAAACAAATTTATTTTAGTTAAGCATAAAAAACGGTAATTTTTATCACTGTATAGAGCAGCAAGATGGTCATTTTTTGTCGGTCAGCATATTCAGTCAGATTTAACAATGTTCATTTTTACATGTGGACCTTTTATTAATTTAACAATGTTCATCGAAGTTAAATTTGCATGCAAACAAATTTATTTTAGCTAAGCATAAAAAACGGTCATTTTTATCACTGTATAGAGCAGCAAGGTAAAACGGTCATTTTTCATCGGTAAGTATATTCAGTCAGATGCACAATCAAACAATATGGTTTCTTAGTCAATTATGATTTATCATCCAGACGGACATTTTCCAACTAGCACTTTTTCAGTCAGCAACTACCAAACAGGACCTAAATGTCCAAAATAGACCTCCCGCCGATACTATGAGATGCTATTAGTATATTATTTATTGTACTATTTGAAACTATTATTTTGGGCACATCCATCGTGTAGTGGATCCAACCCATTGTTTTTATATTTAATTTTTATATATTGCAAATTTGTTGTCAATGAGAAGGGGATCATGAGAAAGTACCTTTGATTACATTTATTTCCTTGATTTTAATACTTAATTATTTCTTATAAATAGTTGTTTCCTTATAATTTTATGAATATTTAATTTCATTATAAATGAGACTTAATCGTCTTTGTAATTTTTTAAGTTAAAAGTTCATAGAGTCAAGAAAAATTAAAAGACCAACATTATTAATTCTTAAAAGAACAAGAAACTGTATCATATTTGTTTCCTTTGTATTAAGTTTCAATCTTACAAAAAACTTCATTCGTAGTTTTTGCAACACGAACGCTTTTTGGCATTTCAGAAAGACAGATTAACGAAGTGAATTCAAAATGAAATTAGACCATCTGCATCAGTCTTACAAATGGGCCTTGCAAATTGATATCTAATGCCATGTAGGATTTAATATTGCAGTTATTGAAAGGCCTACAATGTAGGACCCACCACATTAGATTGCCATGTTGAAAACCAGAAACAATTGCTACCATAGATAAAAATAGTAGAACTTCAAAAATAGAGATAAATAGTTCCCACCGACTAAATGCAAGAAATAGCAACTTAAGTCCATTTCTTACTATTACAACAACAATAACAATGTACTTTCAGAATCAATTTTTTTTTTTATTTAGTTGCCATAGATTTATTTACTTGTACAATTATGGTATTAATAACATGATTGCAAAGAGAATAGGCACCATCATATTCTACTTCTAATCATTATGTTCTAGTTTAAAGTTTAAACAAGCAATTGCATGAATCATTAGGAAAATATTATTATGATTATTATTTTATCCTAACTTAATTAATTGCCTATTAGTAAGCCTGCAATATGTGCTTGGCTTTTTAAGTTTTAATTTAATCTCCTAATCATACATTAATTTAATTTCACGTTATTTCCACCATTAATATATTTCATTTTTATTCAGACTTAAATTCAGATACCCAACCCCACCTTCTGCTGCTTTTGCTTTTTATTCAGAAGCAATCAATCCACTCCATCATTTCTCTAATCACACTGCACCCAACAACAAACACACTTAAGTGTATTTGACAAGAAAATGACAAGATTTGGAGAAGTGAGAATATCTTATTTGTTAAGTCGATTAAGTCAAAAAGAAACAGTACCTGATTGACTAATCTTCCCAGCTGAATTTTGAGACATCTTCGGGTGGTTCGACCCATATGCTCTCAAACGGATCTTGTTCGCCCCAATCATGACACTGCTTACGGGGGTAATATCGACAATGATCCAAAGAATACGATATACATCGTTTCCCATAAAATCTCACTTTAGAAAAATAAACACTATTCCTCATCATCCCAACAAGATCTGTTCTCGCATGTGATGACAAAAAACTCGCAAACAATGTCACACCTTCAAGACTTTTCATTTCAATCCATTCTTTATTACCCTGATCCAACTTATAAATAATCGGGTTTTCACTATAACAAGTGTAGATAACAAAGATGTCACCTTTATGCTCTGCCATAAACTTCCCTTTCCACCAATTTTTCACAAAGAAATTATCCGGACACCGGGGCGGAGGGACAATACGGATAGTCCATGTCAACTCATGCGGGTCATACACCCCAAGCCACCCTGTTAAACTCAAACAATAGAACACCCCGTTACAGAACACAAGTTTGTTCCAAATACTGCTGACAAATGGCAACCGGTTGTGGTAGTTGACCGTGGTCCACACGGTGGCGCCAGGGTGGCATGTGCTGATGGCCACCACGGTTGGGCTGACATGTTTGACTGTGAAGACTATGCAGTTTGGAGATTTTGGGGATGTGGAAAAGGCGACAATTTGGTATGTCATTTCGAATCTTGGGAGTTTGATCATTTCACGTGTGAAGGGGGTTGAAAAAGAGGACTCTTTGTGTTCTTGGTTTGTAGAGTAACAACCATCCATCTTTGTTGTAGCAGATTCTGCATCCGTGTAATTCGGGTAATTCAAGAGAGTATGTTTTGCGTTGTGATGGATCGTAGAATTCGAAACGGTGTCCGAGTTTTGGGGAAGTACATCAGCCATGGTGGCTTGTTGACTACTCTAACTGATACAGCAACTGAGAGCCATCTTTTGCAAACTGCTGATGTGCGAATGTTGTCTTTTAGTGTTAATTGGGATATTATGAATTCAAGGAGTTCAACTGGAAGGAAAGACCATGCTTCTTCTTCTTCTTCTTGTTCAATGTCTCCCTTTGTTGACACTTTTGTATCATTGTTAAATGTTATTGATAACCTATTAATACAACAAAGTTTCATTTCAACACATTTACTTAATGCATAACTTACACAGACAAAATTGGAATAAGAATATATAAGATTATGATAAACATGTTAGTGAAGCAATGAATCAAAGCCTGAAAAGACTTAACATTTTGGAACCTGATCATGGGGTTATATTTCAGGAATGAACAGAGTCGAAGTTTGAAGGTACAATCCTGTTTATAGTTCATTTATCTCCGTCACACACAAAAGAAAACCACTGTAAGCCTAAAAATCCTTGAAATGTGTTACTAAGCCAACAAACATCATATGAGAACAAGATCGAGTGTATCTAACTTCGAGTAATAGCCCAAAAAGCTAGACATTCTCGTACAAACCCTAAACCCTAAAACCCAAATTTGTATAAATTTCAATAACGAAGGAAAACAAATTATCTAACAAATGCATGTACAGCTAAATCCATTAAATAGTAGAGCGAAAGGCATCCAGCATGCAACAAATCAATTGGATTACGAAAAACCATCAGCTACCTACACACGGACGAAATTTTCAAATTCCGGTTAGTTTGGTCCAAATTCATTTCAAAAACAGAGAAATCGTAGCTGAAATTGCAAAGATAGACATCGATCTCATCTCTAAAACCCCAAAACCCCAAATTCGCGGAAGACCTAAAGCACAATTGGAAAGGAAAGCCAAACACACGATGAATCGGATTATGATTCAGTAGGATTCGTTCAGGAAACTTACAATTTGAGCCTCCTTCTCTTCCTTCCTGCCATAACACAAGATGAAAGCTTTCTTTCACCACTGTGTGTGCTAGTGTGTGTGAGAGGGAGAGAGGGGATGTGTTGAAATGATGATTGAGAAAGACGGTTGTCACAACGTGAATGCACCTTGTTGTGCCACCGTTACACGTGTAAATAACAGAGTGATCTGATGCGACGCAGAACACCAGTAGTCTGTGAGGTAGCCAATGAGATGCTAGTAGTAGGGTCAGATGTTGATGTGGCGAGTTTTGATTTGGTGGAAATTGTGGTAGTTGGAAGACATGCGGAGTAGCTTTTATGTGTGTCCGAAACTAGATCTGCGTGGGAATCATAGCGTTTTCGGTGGTTATATCGTGTGTTTAGTTTACTTTTATTTTTCTTTCCTTTTTTTTACTTTTTGATATCTGATTCTAAAGGGCTCGGAAATTTGTAATATTACTTAAATTAGCAATTGATTTATTTGGGGTTTTATTAAAAGATGAGCTGGTATATTAAATACTCGGATAGTAAATATTATAATTTAAATGGACATTTTACTATTTTTATGAATTTCCAAATGATTATTGATTTTGCAACCGGTTAATTTGTGAGTTGTAAAATACAGAAAATGTAATCACCAATATTAATTCGAACTTTTTTTGAATTTCATAATCTCTTAATTTGTAAAACATGTAATTTGTTTTACTTGATGTTCAAAAAAACAAAAGTACAACAAGATTAAATATCACAACATCAACGGGTCTTTTATTCATGAAAAATAAGATCCAGTTAGTTTTTAGATACTTACAACCAAAATCTCACATACAAATTCACTCATGCTTATAAACGTAAACAAAAGATAAACTCAAAGTTCTATTACAAACTGAGAACTATCTATTCAAGATCGAACCAGATGAAACCCTAATAGACAGACATAAATTAGGAAGACAAGTAAAACGAGAGAGAATGAACAAATCAAAACAAGAGAAGTGAGTTATGCGCTAAATAAGCCTTCAATGAAATAATATATACATCGGGTTAATTCCCGGGTGCAAGTCTGGTGCAACCCGGACCAAACTCGTGACCATGCCCGATATACAACCCGCGTTTCCATGTGAAACTACATAAAACAAAGTTGCAGTCCCTAAAAAAGTAAACAGTGACAAAACAACTTTTGCACTAAAATTTACTCATAAATAAACTTTGACAAATTATCATTCTTACCTTGATAATTACCTTGATAATGAAAAAGTATTTCAATGTTGATCTTGAAATAATAAATAATATTGTTTTTATATTATTTTTAACACTTGATATTTATAAATTTTAATATTATTGGTGATTTAAGTGTCATCATACATTTACTTGTAATTAGAAATAATATTAATGTTAAAGCAATTAGTACTAATTGTAGTTTTAAATATCATTAAATATTGCATTAAATCCATTTAATAGCTACAATTAATTTATGTGTAATCCTTATTTCGTCAAAATATATATATATATATATATATATATATATATATATATATATATATATATATATATATATATATATATATATATATATATATATATATATATATATATTCCAAAGGCAAGGAATATATGATTTTTGCAAAAGTTTTGGTTGTCTTTTTCTCTAAACATTCCCCGATACATTTAGTAATTTGGTTTTCTTTTATGTACCTAGATTGGAAGGTGTCATTGTGAAGTATCCAATATTCCCAGGGCATCAGGGTAACATATCAATTCGGAAAGTGGCCTTACACGGTATACTATCAATCCACATTTTCATACTGACATTATGTATCTGCATAATGTTTTCTTAGATAGGTGTATAGATAGTATGTAATAACATACTAAATTCAATATGCATTAGACTATAATAGTGTATATAGTTTAAAAATGAGTTTCAAAATTCAAATAATAAGTTCACAACTCGATAAAACTTTCAAGGATTATTTTTCATTGATATATATATTTTTTTTAATTTGGTTTTTTAATTTTCTTAAATATTATTATTATTATTATTATTATTATTATTATTATTATTTTGAAGATTTCAGGTGTTATAAGTGAGCATGAGGTGATCATTTATAACATAATTTTTTCACAGTCACAATAATAGTCTCCCCACCACCATTAACGAAAACATCATATATAGCACCCATGGAGTGCATTTAACGAAAATTTGTTGGCATAAAGACCCTAATATTGATTTCATCCCTGGAGGAATATCAATTGTCAGTCGTTAACAATGTGTGTCTTGATCGTTGGAAAATGGGTTTAACCAATTAAGAAAAATGAATTTTACCTATCCAGCAACACAAATTTAATGTATTATCTAAAATCAAAATGGGAAGATGGTTAAACACGGTTGTTTTTTCATGTTTGCACACACACACACACATACATCTTGTTTTTTTTCTCAAAATGTTACTCTGCTTTGCATAGTTCTTTAAGGCATTTTTGAATTCACTTTTTATCATTTATATAGGTTATCACACATGATTAGGAGATGTTTTATCATCCAAAACACCCCACTTAATCCATTAATTGTTCATTGAAACCTTTAAGTATATGATGATACTTCACCTTAAACAAAGGTTTAACTAGTTTAGTTTCCAATTGCACATTCAAACACTCACATAGTTTGTTCCCAACTTATTGAACACTCAAATGAATGTTGTTAAGTACATAAAACTACAACCAAGCCCATTGTAAGTGTTTAATTTGACTATGTAGTCCTCAATTCCATTATTACACTCTAAGTGCTTATAAACACTCAATTACAAGGGTTAAAGGCTCAATAACACTCTTTAACCAATATCAAATCATTTAATACATCATAAGATATTGTCAAGTGCATAAAACATGCTCTAACACAATCAAATCCCATACCAAGCTCTTATGCAATGTTGTAGAAATCAGCATTGGCGACCGATTAATCGTTTGGCAGCCATAAACCGATTACGATTAGGGTGCTTGGCGGAAATTGGTCAAAATCGGTCAAAGTCGGCATTGGCGGTCCTTGGCGGTCTCGGTGGTCATAGGCAGGAATTTTTTTTTTTTAAAAATTAAATTTTTTTTTTCAAATACTACACTAAAATTTTAAGTTTTCAAATTTTTAATCTTTCAAATTTTAAAATATTAAACTAAGATTTTCAAATACTTAGTTTTTTAGGGAATATTAATTTTTTAAATAATTTTATTAATAGTTAAGGGTCCCCGATTAATCTCTGCCTAGTCTGATTAATCGCTTATCGCCAGTCGACCGCCGAGCTACCGCCGAATGATTTTTACAACCTTGCTCTTATGTAACATCCCCTTCCAGCACGTATCACAATATTGTCCACTTTAGGCCACTCGGCACAAGGACTTCCCAGGGGTCACCCATCCCAGTACTACTCTCGCCCGAGCATGCTTAACTGTAGGGTTCTTATGTGCTCTACTTCCGTCATGGCTTTAAAATGTGTTGTGACAAGGAAGATATCCACACCCTTTATAAGGAAATGTTTCGTTCTCCTTCCAAGCCAATGTGGGATCTGGTGCAACCCACCTTCACCACCCCCCCCCCCCTTATTATAGGGTACGATATCCCTGTCGAACACATCGACCTGTGCCCTATCTCTGATACCATTTGTAACATCCACTTCCGGAACATATCACAATATTATCCGCTTTGGGCCACTCGGCACAAGGACTTCCCACGGGGTCATCCATCCCGGTACTACTCTTGCCCGAGCACGCTTAACTGCAGAGTTCTTATGGGATTGTAACATCCCCTTCCGGTATGTATCACAATATTGTCCGCTTTAAACCATTCGACACAAGGACTTCCCATGGGGTCACCCCATCCTAGTACTAATCTCGCCCAAGCACGCTTAACTCCAGAATTCTTATGGGATCGGTTTCCATCACGGCTTTTAAACGC